GAGGTAGAGTCTCGCTTTGTTGCCCGGGCTAGAGTGAGTGCCGTGGCGTCAGCCTCGCTCACAGCAACCTCAAACTCCGGGCTCAGGCGATCCTGCTGCCTCAGCCTCCTGAGTAGCTGGGACTACAGGCATGCGCCACCACGCCCGGCTCATTTTTTACGGGTGGGAGCCGCGTCCCAGCCTTTGGGGCCCCCCGAGGAGCCGCCCGGGGGTGGGGGGTCCTGGCACCTCGGCGACCCCCATCTCACACCCAGGTGAGGAGCCGCGAGGCCGCCGCGGGCCGTGAGAAGCGGCGGGGCCGGCCCTTCCCGCGCCCTCCCCTCGCGGAGCGGCGGGCCGCGCTCGCCCTCTGGCGGCGCCTCCCGGGACTGCGCGGCGGCGGGGCCCGAGCACCTGCGGCGCGGCCGCCCCACCTGGAGGCGCGTGGGTGGCTCCCTCTCGGCGCCCGCGCCCCGCCCGAGCTGCTGGCTGTCCCCCAGCGTGTCCTTCCGCTGCCCTCCAGTCCCAGCTAACGGCAGCCCCGTCCCGCCAGGTGCTCAGGTCTCAAACTTTGGAGTATCCTTGGCCCCTCTCTTCCTGACTCCTCCCCTCCGCCCCCAATCTTAATGTGACAGCAAGTTTGGTCCACTTCAGAACCTACCCGCAATCCGCCCGCTTCTCCCCGTCCCCTGGATCAGTGCAGTCTCCTCCTCCCGGGTCTGCCGGCGCCCGCCCTCGCCCCCCACATTCTATTCCTCCAGCAGCGGCCAGAGGGCGCCGGGAGGCCCTGAGTGCGGTCACGTCCCTCCTGTGCTCAGAACCCTCCAGGGCTCCCATCTCGGTGGAGACAGACGCCAAAGTCCTTCTCCAGGCCCACCAAGCCCTGCACGACCAGCCCCCATCACCGCCCCAATCCTCATCGCCCCACACCCTCTCCCCTTTTCACACTCCCTCCACCTGCACTCCTTTATTCTTATTTTCCATACTCCCTAGGCACAATCTCATAATACTATGCAGCTATGCAAGACTGAAGAAGCTCTTTAAGCTTGAGCATGGAAAGATGTTTTTTTTTTAAAAAAAAAAAAAAACAGATACACAGAATTGTTCTGTGTGTGTTTTTTTGTTTGTTTGTTTTGTTTTTGAGACAGAGTCTCGCTTTGTTGCCCAGGCTAGAGTGAGTGCCGTGGCATCAGCCTCGCTCACAGCAACCTCCAACTCCTGGGCTCAAGCAATCCTTCTGCCTCAGCCTCCCAAGTAGCTGGGACTACAGGCATGCGCCACCATGCCCGGCTAATTTTTTCTATATATATTAGTTGGCCAATTAATTTCTTTCTATTTATAGTAGAGACGGGGTCTCGCTCTTGCTCAGGCTGGTTTCGAACTCCTGACCTCGAGCAATTCGCCTGCCTCGGCCTCCCAGAGAGCTAGGATTACAGGCGTGAGCCGCCGTGCCCCGCCCACCAGCAGATCTTTGCTGAGGCTTACAGTATGCAATGCCTTGTCCCAGAAGGGAACGAAAACAGGCAAGATAATTTCAGAGGGCGACAGAGGACCACCAGGAAGATATTAATAAAACAGGGTGAGGAGTGCGTGCTTGAGGGCAACTTGCAGTTCTCAGGCCTCTCTGAGGAGGTGATGAGTAAGCAGAGAACTGAGTAACCCAGACATAGCCTCGGGGAGATCCTGAGGAGAACTTTGCTGGTAGAGGGAACTGCCAGTGCAGGGGCCCTAAGTAGGACGTGCCTTAAGGAACAGCCAGGAGACCTGTGTGGCTGGGAAAAGTGGGAAGTGAGGGCAGGGAGGTGATGGGGCCTGGAACTGAGCAGAGAGCTTGGATTTGGAGGCAGATCTGAAGGATTACATTGGGGGAAGAAGACCAAGGTCATCTAGAGGGTGCCACTTTTGCGGAGAGAGAGCAGCCCAAGTATGTTCCTGGTGTTTAAACTTCTTGTCTTTCCAACGCCTTAAAAGGAAGAGGGATTGCCCTCATTTTATTTTTTATTTCAGCATATTGCCAGGGTTTAGGTTACATATATTGCCTTTGCCCCAGGCAAGTCAGAGCTTCAAGTATGTCCATCCCCCAGATGGTATGCACTGTACCCAATGAGTGCCCTCATTTTAGACCTGAGAAAACAGGCCTGGGGAGGTGGAATCACTCAGGCAGTGCAAGGTGAAGCAGGATTTCTCATCTACCCTTCCCCAGCTGGGTGACCCTGTCATAGGGTTTAATTCTTCCACCTTCATTTTTTTTTTCCCATTCACACCTGAGAGCTTCACTTTTCTCATCCTTAAAAATGGGGCTGTGACTGGTACCTACCAACTCATAGGGTTGGAGGGAAATGTCTATTTCTTGCTTTCATTCCTGTACCTAGAATTGGACGTGGCATACAGTAGGTGCTCAGTGAGGTTATCTATAGGTTATCTCAGGTTATCTCTAGGAGTGGCCCAGCATGGTGTGTGGCATTCAGGTGGCTCAGTAAAATGTTGAATTGACTTGGCCTTGGCCTCTGAGAACTTAACCCACCCTGTGATGGAGTTTATGCACAAGTAACTTTATCTCTGCGTCTTTTCCTGTTTCTTTACTTGTCAGAGACCTTTCCTGACAGTGAGTGGCAATGATTAGTCTTCTTCCACCTCCCCCCCTCCTTTTTTTAATCTCCTCGGGGGAGTTGGGAGAGGTGGCTGCGGGCAGGATGCTGGTGGATGCGCTCTGCCCCGGCTGAATGTGGCTGTCCTCAGGGCCCACCTTCCTTCCCCTGCAGGGAGCAGCGCATTGCAGAGAGCATGGCCAAGATGCCACAGATGATTGAGAACTGGCGGCAGCAGCAGCGGGAGCGCTGGGAGAAGGCGCAGGCGGACAAGGAGAGGAGGGCCCGGCTGCAGGCTGAGGCCCAGGAGCGCCTGGGCTACCACGTGGACACAAGGAGCGCCCGCTTCCAGGAGCTGTTACAGGACCTGGAGAAGCAGCAACGCAAGCGCCTCAAGGAGGAAAAACAAAGAAAGAAGAAGGAGGCAAGAGCTGCTGCGATGGAAGCTGCTGCGGCCCAGGAAGCCACTGAGGCCCAGGACCCAGCAGCCTCTGGGGCACCCAGCTCCTGAGCTCTGTCCTTTCCCAATAAAGGCTGCCACCTGACCGTCCCTTGAAGCACTCTGCTTCCTGCCCCAGCACCTGGGGCTGGGCAGCCCCACTCAGCTCTGCTCACACGGGGACTCTAGGCCATGGTGACTGACTGGGGCTTTCTGGGGAGAAAAAGGGGATACGATGGGCAAATAATGGAGGAGCAGATGGCAGAAGAGAAGAAGGCTTCTGTTTACCAACATTAATCTCCAGTAATTAGCCAATTACCAGGGGGGAAGTGTAGCCAAAACAGACTGTGGTGAGGATGGTGGAGGTGGGGAAAAGCAGCCCTTGCAAGGCTGAACTAGGGCTGGGGCACACTGCCTGGGAATGTGACAGCTTCCAGGGGGGAGGCGGCACTGGGAGCCCCAATCTGCAGGGGCTAACAGACCCCTCTCCCCCTTCTCTGCATTCCCATATTGCCTGTGCCCAACTAGCCCCCAGACCCAGGCAAGCTGGCGTGGGACGCCCCAGCAGGCATAGATCATAGGGCTGGTTTTTAAAACTTTATTCATTTTAAAACCTTTATCAGAGACACGGTTCTGTTCTAGGGTGCAGGTGGCCTTGACACTGAACTGATGTTACCCCTTCTCCAGGCTGGAGGCCAAGGCAAAAGTGGGGAGGAGGCCTTGGGCCTTTCAGGGCTCACCCCAGATGGAAAGATTTGGGCCACTCCAATGGAGGATTGAAGTTTGGGGCTCCAGCTTTCCCTCATCCTGGAAGGGGGCGGGCCAGGGGGTCCTCAGGGGCTCGTCCAGGATGGAGAAGCAAGCAGCCGCCTCTCCATCTGGCTGCAGGGAGCTGGGACAGAGGCCAAGAGGGGCCCATCTGTCGCCTCCTGGTCCTGCCAGCTCCTTTGAGTAGGCTGGGCTGGGGAGGAGGACAGGGACAGCTGTCTGGCCCAGGTCTTCTTAGACTGAGATGGGAATGAAGGCCACTCTAGGAGGGTGGGAAGCTGGGGTGTTTGTTTTTTTTTTTTTTAAGGTTTTTGATTTTTTTCCATTTCTTAAATAAACATGAATATATATATATATTTTTTCTTTTATAAAACTTTCATGGAGTGGGGGTGGGGTGGAGGGCAGTGGGCGGCCTGGCCTCCCGGCATCACTCATCATCAAAGTTCTGACTCAGGAGAAAGTTGGCAGCCAAGTTCTCGTTTTTTTCACACGCGAAGTAGGCCTGGATCACCAGGCTCTCCGGGAAGCCCAGGGCCTTCAACTGTGGGAAGACACGGCGGGCAGGTATGAGCGGGTGGGGTGGGGTGGGCGTACCGCACCCACCCGTGCAGTCACCCCTTGGCCAGGCCTCTTACCCTCTCTATAGCTTCTTTCTCCTGCGGCGTCACCTGGATGTAGTTCATCTGTGGAGCCTCCTCGCCTATGGCGCCCACCTCACCCTCCACGTCTGAGACGTCCGCCAGCTCCCCGGGGGGTTCATTCAGCATCTGGATGAACTGCTCCTGGTGCCGGCTAATTTGCTGTGGGAGAAAAAGGGGAAGGGATGGCGACCCATAGCCCTTGCCGCCTCTCCCCAGGTCGCCGTCGCAGCCCTATTTTCATTCAGTCAGCAAATATTCAGAGGTGCCACCAACCCCGGCCGGAGCTGATGGGCTCTAAGTGAGCAAATAGACGGACCAGACAACTGCAGGAGCTGGGCCAGAAAGACGCTGAGGGCCATGGAGAGGAACGGTTCCTCCAGGTAGCACAAACAGCAAGTGCAAAGGCTGGGAGCGGATGCATTTGGCAAATCCCAAAAACAGAAGACTCAGGCGGCAAGAACAAACAAGGGGGGAGGGGCCGAAGATGAGACCAGAGAAGAAGGCCAGAGCCAGACCCACTCTGCCCTGGTGCAACGGGAAGCCATGGTGGGGACAGTTAAGTGCGGAAAAGACACGATCTGTGTATCTTTTCGGGAGGTTGACGTATCCAGGTGTTGGGTATCTGGAGGCTGTACTACAACCCTGTCTACTTTCATCTGCATCAAGCAAGAAAGTGCTTTTTCAGTCACCTGGTCCTATGTCTGGCCTAAAAGGCACTTTCACAGAGATGTGAAGTTGGCTACAGGTGAGCGTGGCATCCAGAGAGGCCCAGGCTGCTCGCACAGGTCTGGGAGTCACTGCACGGACTGAGGCCCCAGGAGGAGCACCGAGCGCAGATGAAGAGGAGAGGTGGGCAGGAGACAGCACGAGGAACTGAGACTCGAGGGGAGGGGGAACGTGCTACACTTCTCTGGTCAAGGGCAGGATGGAACCTCGCTGAGCACAGTGGTCCTGGAGCCAACTGGGACACAGCGGTCCTGGTGCTGCCACGAAACCTTACAGACATCTACGCAGTGCCAGCTGTATGTGGAGCTGGAGCCAGAGCCCTGGCCCAGGACCCGGACACACTCCACCAGCTGCACGACCCTGGGCATGACAGGCTGCCCGGAGCCTCTGGTGCCCTCTGCGGTGCATGCTAGTGACAGCACCCACACCTCACGGGGGTGGGTTGCAAACAGGTCACGAGAAGCATGGGCGGTGGGAGTCTGTCCTGCCATAGCACTGTATGTACACTGCGGGCTGTGGCGCCTGCAGGGTGGGGAATCGGTGCCCGCCCTGGCCCCTCTGCCCCTGGAACCACACCTGCAAAAGCTGAGGGTTCTCCTGGCCCAGCTGCTGCAGCAGAGCAGGCAGCAGCGCCGGGTTCTGCTGGATCACTTGCCGCATGTTCTGGAACTGAGGCTGGTCACGCAGGAACTCCAGGGGGTTCTCTCCTGCTAGCAGCAGGAAGGGGTGTGGTCAGACACCATGCTAGGCTCCCAGGGGCTGGGGAGTTGGGTGCCTTCAGAGCAGACACCCCCATGCACGGCTCCAGCTCGCTCACCTGCTTCTGTAGCCGGCTGCTCGGACACCTGGCTCTCCTGGACAGAAGCGTGTTCTGGCTCGGGGCTTCCAGGAATTCCCTGTCGGGAGTCGTATTCAGCTCTAATGCACAGACTTCCCACTACCTCCCTCCACGCTCTAGCAGGAGACAGGGGAAGCCTTGGCCTTGCCCTTCATCGGCCCACCCCCCACGCATGGCCAGCCTCCTGCAGGAAGCCTTTAGTGGCTGGAGCCACCACCCAAAGGCTTTTCAGGGCAGCTTTTGCCTCCCCGAGTGCCCAGCAGGGCAGTGAGGCCCATGGACTCCCTCAAGGCCTCCCCAGGAGGCAGCGGCCCCACCTCACCGTGAGTAGGTACTCCACGGCTCGGTGGGGGTTGTTGTAGCTGGCTCTCAGGGCGGCCACGACCCGCTCCCGCTCGTAGCCCATGGACATGATCTCCGTCAGCATCGTCTCATACTCTGAGCCAGTCACTGTGGAAGGAGCAGCAAGACCTGGGTCACCAGGAAGAGGGAAGGGCAGCTCCCAGGCCCTCCCGCACACAGACAAGGCCCAGCTGATGGCTGGAGCACCCAGTTGCCTCTGCCCTGGGGACCACCCACCCACCTAGCGTGGAGGCCGCGTCTTCCTCTCGCCCGCTGCTACCTGAAGAGGGAACAGAGCTGCAAATTCAAGAGAGAGAAATCGGACCCTGGCTTCTGGTGGCTTGCCCTCCCTCCAGGTGTGTGGGACCACGTGTGTGGGCGCTGGAATGTGCTGGGACGCCAGGGCCCAAGCTGAGGCTGCTGCCCTTGCCTTACCCTGACACAGACTCTGGGGACGTCGTAGGAGCTGATTCCTCTGATGGACTCTTGTCCTCTCTTGCGGTAGGTGAGGGATGGGACATGCCTGAGGCAGGGGCCGGCGGGAAGGAAGTGGAGGTCTCCAAGGTAGCAGTTGGTGAAGCCTCTGGGGGTGCTGAGGTACCCTGGCCAGCTTTGGCCTGTGACACCAAGGAAAATGGAGCTGGTGTCAATACCCCTATCAGACCCCAACATCCCGCCTTGCTGAGGCCCCGCCTTGCTCATAGCTAATCTTTCCTGGGCACGCAGGCTCTCTGCCAGCTGCCCGGCTAATCCGCCCACCCTCCCAGCCAGCACATGTCACCCACCTTGGTCACCATGACAACCACAAAGTTCTTCTCATCGATGCGATAGTCCCTAATGGGGACATCATCGCTAAGGATCTTGCCGGCATAGATGAGCTTCTGTCCAGCCACAGGGAAAGCATCACGACCCTTCTCAGCTTCTATCTTCTCCTTTAACACCTTCACCTGAATGGAGGGGGACACACAATCATTGCAAACCCCAAATTCTCTTCCCTTCTAGTTTAGGGGACAGAGCCTGCAAGCCCCAATGGCAAGGAGGCAAAGCGTCGTAGTCAAACAGGCTAGATTTGAATTTGTTCAATTATCGTGCCATTCACTAGAGTATTTTCTGAGCATTTATTAAGTGCCAGGTGCTGTTTAAAGCACTGAGACTGTTTTAGAGATGGAGGCCACAGCAAGGAACAAAATATAAGTCTATGTTCTCAGAGAGAGAACACTAATGTGAGAAGAAAAGCAAGTAAGTAACTTAGGTGGTGTAAAGTATGATGAGAAATAAAGGGGAGAAAGGAGGGCCCACCCATTTCTACATTGGTGACCTTGGACAGTAATGATAATCAATATTTACTAAGGGCATTCTAAATTGATAGTTAGCTACAGTAAATGTATATATATACTTCTTAAGCTTCATAATACTATAAAATAGATATCATTGGCCCCATTTTATATTTGAGAAAACTGAGAAACAGAGAGGTTAGATAACTTATTCAAAGTCAAACAGTTGAGCTGATCAAAAAATGTTTCCTTTTCTACAAAGAGTGCACTTAAAGGCCAGGCACGGTGGCTTATGCCTGTAATCAACACTTTGGGAGGCCACCAAGAGTTTGAGACCAGAATGAACGGCATGGCCGGACCTCATCTCTATGAAAAATAGAAAAATTAGCCAGGCACGGTGGTGTGCACCTGTAGTCCCACCTACTCCAGAGGCTGAGACAGTAGGACTGCTTGAGCCCAGTAATTTTTTTTTTTTTAGAGACAGTCTCACTCTGTTGCCTGGGCTAGAGTGCAGTGGCATCATCATAGCTCCCTGCAACCTCAAACTCCTGGGCTCAAGTGATCCTCCTGCCTCAGTCTTACAAGTAGCTGGAACTACAGGCACGTGCCACCATGCCCGACTAACTTTTCTCTGTTTTGTAAAGACAGAGTCTCACACTTGCCCAGGCTGGTTTCAAACTCCTGACCTCAAGCGATCCTCCCAGCCTAAGCTTCCCAAAGTGCTAGGATTACAGGTGTGAGCCACTGCACCCAGCCTAAGCCCAAGAATTTGAGGTTATAGTGAGCTATGATCAGAGCACAGCACTCCAGCCTGAACAACAGAGGGACACTGTCTCAAAAAAAAAGTAGACTTCAATGTCTTTCTCATGGGGTAGGTGTGCAAAAAGTGCCAAGTATACAAACTGATATTCAATATGGTTGAATTAAGTCCTAATTCTCCTCTCAGCTAAAAAGCTGCACAATGTTTAGACTTCGGGCTCTCACATGAGGCAGAACCGAATTTGAATACCAGCTCTGCCATTCCATGTTTTATGTGACCGTGGCAAAGTTCTTTAACCCCTAGGTTTCCATATCTGTAAAATTCGAAGAGTCAGAGTTCCCAAATGACAACCCCATTTTGCACATCAGCAAAACACTAACACGCTCAGTGACTGATAAGGAATAAACGGCCAACAAACACAGACCACCAAAACTATTAAGACTGAGACCGTTTATTATCACTATTATCGCCGTTGCCGTCACCGTTCAGCATCTCCCGGTCATTACTCCCAGATACGCCCACCAACGGGAGACGCCTGCAAAGCTGGGAACGCGGAGCCCCAGTCCCGGAGAGCTTGGCCTGGCCGGGAATCTGAGCCTGTGGCTCCCGCGTCCCGCGAGAGCGCTGACATCGGAGCCGGGGCCTGGCGGGCGCCCCAGGGGTGGGGCCTCGCCCGGAGAGCTGCCCAAGAGCGCCGCCCGAGCCGCCGGGGGCTGGGCCAGGGACCAGGGTGGGGGGTCCAGGAAAGTCCCACAGGCTGGGGGGACGGGCAGGGCTGGGCCCGAGCCATCCTCCCTACCCCTCCCGTTGGGATTCCGGCCTCCCCGCCCCCACCCCACCCCCGGCACCCGTCGCTCCCGCCCCCGGGCTCCGGCCCGGCCCGCACCGTCTCGTCAGGCTCCATGCGGATCTTGAAGGTCTGCTGCTGCAGCGTTTTGAGCGTGATGGTGACGGCCATGGCGGGGCCCGAGCGACGCGGCGGCCCCAAGAACCTCTCACAACATGCAACTCACGCCGCCGCCATCTTAGCGCTCAGCCGCGCTGCGCGCCGACCGCTTCCGGGGCAGGCGATGCGCGCGCTGACCACCGACGCACGTGACCTGCGCGAGCCCTCTTGGCATTTTTGGACATGCGCACGAGAGCCCGCTGTGGCCACGCATGCGCAGACCAAACTCTGCTTTGCAGGAGGGGAGGGGCCTCTTGCTCGGCCCGCATATGTCACGTCCTGGGTGACGCCATGCCGGTTGCGGTGACGTCATGTGGCCGCAAAATGGTTCCAGTGTCTCCACTTCCACGCCCAAATGAGTTTTTTAATTGACGGTGAACAAAATTTTTCATGTACCTGTATTTGTTATATAGACGTTTGTGTTTCTTCCATAAAGATCTTTTCCCATGACTTTTACCTTTTCAAATGATTTTTATTCTGGACTGACCACCCTGGCTGTAACCTGCTAGAACACTGAAAGTGAAAGTTACTCAGGACTAGAAAGGATCCCGGAAAGGTCACCAAAAATTACTGAAAAAATGTTTTTAGTGTTTGTTTGTTTTTTAAAGAAGTAGGGGTCTCTGTTGCCCAGGCTGGAGTGCAAGAGGGAGCACTTTGTAGCTTCCTTCATTCTTGATCCAGATTTTTGAAATGAACCTACAGTTCTAGTTCTCAACTCCTACTGATTTGTTAACCCCCTATCCACAGTCCGACCCCAAAAGTAGTTAATGAAGATGTTCAGTTTCAATGTCTCCTTATGTTGAATACATAATTCCCATGAATCCACCCTAGATGCACCAATACTTCCCAGTATTGGTGGGAAGCCTCCCAATACTTCTGAGGCTTCCCAGAGGGGTTGGGCTGGGCCACAGGAACAGTCTAAGCCAGGGGTCCTCAAACTTTTTAAACAGGGGGCTAGTTCACTGTCCCTCAGACCGTTGGAGGGCTGGGCTACAGTTTAAAAAAAAACTGAACAAATTTCTATGCACACTCCACATATCTTATTTTGAAGTAAAAAAACAAACAGGCAAAAACGCCCACATGTAGCCTGTGGGCCATAGTTTGAGGGCGCCTGGTCTAAGTGGAATAGGGAGAGTTGGAGGGGAGGGCTAGTTTGCCTGAACTGAAAGGCGCTTTAGGGCAGCAGTCCCCAACCTTTTTGGGACCAAGGACTGGTTTCATGGAAGACAATTTTTCCACAGATGGGGAGGCCACAGGGGTTGGGGACTGCAGCTTTAGACAACTGGATGGAGGTGAGGCTTGGCTTGTTCTCCCAGTAAGGAGCTGGTGTGTGGAGGTGGCGATTGGTTGCAGAGACCAGAGAGGCTGGGGCAACATTCCCATGTTCTGAACTGGCCATTACCCTCCAGACATGCTCTTTTCAGCACACTCCTCCACTCCCCCAAGCCAGGCAGTCACCTGACACCTCACCCATTGCCCAATTGTAACTCCTGCTGTTTTTCCCCTCCACTGCATGCCCAAGCTTCCACCAGTCAGCCAGGGCCAACGGAGAGCTTCTTAACTCTCTGCTGCAACAAGGGACAGATAATTCCCCTCATTCTCCTACTCATTCAATGGACTTTAAGTAGCAGCCTCGAGAACCCCAACAGAGGTGGGCCTGGTAGTCCAGTAGTCTATTAATCCAGGCCCTCAAACTCTGCTCCCTTCCTTGGGTCCGCCTCTTTCCCAACTTGTCCTTAAAGACCATGAGTCCCTGGGCAAGTTACATACCATCTCTGAATCTATTTCCTTGATTATAAAAAGAATATCTTTGAACACCCCTGGCTGGCATAAAAATGTTTGAAATTGTACAATTATGCTATGTAATCTTGCTTTAAGAGACAGGCGTCTGGCCAGGCGCGGTGGCTCACGCCTGTAATCCTAGCACTCTGGGAGGCCGAGGCGGGTGGATTGCTCCAGGTCAGGAGTTTGAAACTAGCCTGAACAAGAGCAAGACCCAGTCTCTACTATAAATAGAAATTAATTGGCCAACTAATATATATAGAAAAAATTAGCCAGCCATGGTGGTGCATGCCTGTAGTCCCAACTACTCGGGAGGCTGAGGCAGGAGGATCGCTTGAGCCCAGGAGTTTGAGGTTGCTGTGAGCTAGGCTGACGCCATGGCACTCACTCTAGCCTGGGCAACAAAGTGAGACTGTCTCCAAAAAAAAAAAAAAAAAAAAGACGGGCGTCTTTGATGTCACCCAGGGTGGAGTGTGGTGGGGTAATCATAGCTCACACGGAGCCTTGAATTCCTGGGCTCCAGCGATCCTCCCGCTTTAACCTACCAAGTAGCTGGGACTACAGATGCACACTGGCTAAACTATTTTTTGTAGGGACAGGGTGTTGCTATGTTGCAGAGGCGTGTGTTGATCTGCAGTCCTCAAGGTAATCCTCCTGCCGGGCCTCCCAAAGTGCTGGGACTGCAGGCATGAGCCACTGTGCCCAGCCAGTCTTGATCTTTAATATGCAAGAGGTACATATGGCTCTGTAAAGTGTACAAGTATGCAATGGTGGCCAAGATGTGAGTTCGAATCCCAGCCCCCAACCCCTAAGTTGAGGACCTTAGTCGTCTTAATCAAACTGGTACAAGAACTAAAACTTACCAGCTAGATGCAAGGACTCAGTAAGTTATACATGGAGTATTTACAGCAGCAGTCATTCTCTCATTGCTTTTGGGGTTACCGGGTAAATAAAGGCCCCTATAATCTTGTAGAACACTCAGCCATCCTTTTAGCAGCAATTGGGAAATGAGCCTTACTCAGGAGTCATCCCTGAGCCACCAGGATCCCTGGACATCTGCCCTCCCCCAGAAGGAGACGCAGGGAGGGAGACACAAAACTTAATTTAATAGAAATTTTGTTTGTAATTCTTACATTCTCAGTGTGAGCCCAGCTGGAACCTGCTGCCCCACCTAGAAGTGGCCCAGTCCTGGGGGCAGCGGAAGATAAAGGGAGGGGAGGAATGGGAAGAGCCCCAATTCTTTCTCAGTGCTGGGGGACTGGAGATGCCACCCCCTTCTCCTGCCCCCCTCTGGGCTCCAGGAAGGAGAGAAGGTGGAATCTCAGGCCTGTGGCTTCTCCTCCACACCGCTGCCCCCCGGGTTGGAGAGAGGCTAAAGGATCCGGGGAGAGACGGGCACAGAGGCAGGAAAAGATGTCACTCAAGAAAGAAGAAAGAAGGAAGTAAGGGGTGAAAGAGAATCCAAGACAAAACACTAGTTTAAAAAAAAAGGGAGGGACAGAACCAAAAATTCACCCCAAAGCTGAACCCGCCTGGAAAAAATGAAAGTTCTCGAGTCTCATAGAGACATTATTTGGCGCGGCCGGCTCTGCGGCGGGGAGCGCTCGGGCCTCAGTCCAGCCCCGGAGGCGGGTGGCGCGGCCTCTACAGCTCGTCCTTGGCCTGGCCGAGGGCGTCTTCATCTTCGTCGTCTTCCTTGTCGTCTTCATCTTCTTCATCCTCGTCTTTGTCCTCATCATCTTCCTTGTCCTCGGCCTCCTCTTCCTCCTTGCGCTTTTTGTCTTCCTCCTCCTCTTTGAGCCTCTGCTCCTCGTCCTGTTTGTCCTTCATTTGCTTCTCTGCTGCCTGCACGGATAGACCACACCCCTCAGTGCCTGGTGCCCCTGCCAGCCCTGCCCGCCCCCCAAAAATCGGGAGCAGGCCCCACCTTTGTGACACCCCATGTCTCGTTGCCAAACTCCTCGGCATATGCCTCGTCGTTGGTGATGAGGAAGTTGTCAAAGATGGTGCCAGACTTGACCTGGGAGGGACGAATGGAGGGAGGGGTGGTCAGAGGTGACACCCCCTAGCCCTGGCTTTGGACAAGGCTACCACCCACGTTCCTATAACCACTACACACTGCTGCCTGCCATCTGCTTCTGCCAAGAAGGGTGTTAACATCCCCAGCATTGAAGCCAGAAAGATGGAGGTTGTGGGGCCACACTGCCTGGGTTCAAACCCCAGCTCTGCTGTTTCCTGCCTATGTGACCTTGTGACTTCATTTCTCTGCAGCCCAGTTTCCTTATCTGGGACTCCATACCGCTTAGTCAATTACTATTCAAGTACCTGCTACCTGCCAGGATCTGTCCTAGGCACAGAAGGTACTGCAGTGCCCAAAACAGACAAAACAATTCAGTCCCAGCCAATTTTATGCCTTTTTTCTGTTTGTTTAAGAGGCAGGGTCTTGCTCTGTCGCCCAGGCTGGAGTGCAGTGGCATGATCATAGCTTGAAGCTTAGAACTCCTGGGCTCAAATGATCTTCCTGAGTAGCTGGGACTACCAGTGGGTGTCACCATGGCACAGCTAATTTTTGTATTTTTTGTAAAGACGCAGTCTGGCTATGTCACAGAGGCTAGTCTCCTACCCCTGGCCTCCAGCAATCCTCCCACCTCAACCTCCCAAAATGCTAGGATTACAGGTGTGAGCCACCATGCCCAGCCCCAGCTAACTTTCTAACTGAGTTACCTGACCACCTTCTAGATCATTAAGGGTAATTAAATAAATTCATTTGCAGGAACATTCCAGGAATTACTTGACACATAATAAGAACTCAAAAGGGAACAGATCTGAAAATACTTCCAAAAAAACCCCACCATTTTTGAGTCAGATCTATCTGGGGTTGAATCCTACCTTGTGTCCCTTCCTCTCGGGTGACTCTGAGCACTTAAGGTCCCCTAAGGATCCTCCTCTTCCCTCCGTGTCTCACCTGCCAGAGATCGAGGCCCAGCACAGCAAAACTGTCATAGGCGTAAATGTTGTCATCAGGGGAGTACTCAGGGTTGTCGATTTCTGGGTGGATCCAAGTGCCCTTGTAATCTGGGTTGTCGATCTGCCGGGGCTTCCACTCGCCCTGTGGAAGGAAAAGGGAATCAGAGGGCGAATGGATGAGTGAGGTGCACCCCTCCCCACCGTGAGCCCAGCCCTGCTGACAGCCCCCAGGCCCACCTTGTACTCGGGGTTCTGAATGACTGGTGGCTCCCATTCTCCATCCATCTCTTCATCCCAGTCCTCAGGCTTCTTAGCATCGGGGTCAGGAATGTGCTCAGGTTTGTCCCAGTCCTGGGGAGACATGAAGAGGTCAGACATGGCCCAGTTGTCTTCCACACTCTCTAAGGGAGAGACCCTACCCAAGCACCAACCTCGGGCTTAGAGTCTGTGGGGTCATCGATCTTGGCCCGCTCATCCCAGTCTTCCGGTTTGGAAGCATCAGGATCCTTTATCTTCTTGGGTGGCAGGAAGTCCCAATCGTCCTCCAAGGAGCCGGACTCCACCTGGCTGTTATCGATCTTCACCACATACGTGTTGTCTGGCCGCACGATCAGCGTGTACAGGTGTGTAAACTCATCGTCCTGAGGAGGGCAGGAGGTGAGTGGCCCACCTCACCAAGCTGGCCTCGGAGCCTCCCAACAGCCACTTGCAACCACCCCCAGGCACACCTTGCAACGGATGTCCTTGTTGATCAACACGTTCTTGCCCTTGTAGTTGAAGATGACATGAACCTTCTTGGTGCCAGGGCCACAGATGTCGGGGCCTAGGCGAGCAGCAGATCAAGTTAAAAAAAAAAAAAAAAAGACTGCCCACCATTTCCAGGCCCTTACAAAAGGAAAACTCAGTTCTTAAACTCAGGTCTGTCAAGGTGAAAAGATGAGGTTTAGAACCTAACTCTGCCCTGATGGGGCTGTGGGCAGAGCCTTAAGTAAAATTTAAAAAAAGCAGTGCTCTAGAACTCAACATCCTCATTTTTATATTTGGGAGATACCTATTTATAATCACACAAACAGAACAGATCCACAATCACAATGCATTAAATGGCTAACTGTGACCTGTCCCTTTAGCTCCTCCAGAGGAAAAAAACTAATTATTCAAGTGCTTTCTATGCTCACATCACCTTCCTGGGTTGTAAGAAATTCACAGGTCCCAGTTTCCCTCCAACTAAAGGAACAGAGGCCAGCACCAGGGCACAACCCCTCACCAAACATGATGTTGTATTCCGAATCTCCGTGCATGTCCGTCTGGTCCAAACCATCCGGAAACAGTTTCACGTAACCGCCCCCACAGTCGATGTTCTGCTCGTGTTTCACAGTGAACTGCACCACCAGCGTCTGGCCCTTGTTGCTGAAGGGTTCAAATCTGGCCGACAGAGCGTAAAAGCGGGCATCCTGGCTAGTCTGCAACCCTGAGATGAGACGACAGTGAGGTCACTGTTGGACCCTGAACCCCCAAGGACCCTAACACCTCGTAGGTACAGACGACACCCTCCTTCTTCCACCTGCCCTGCTCCTGGGAGATTGTCCTGACTTGCGTGCTGACTATAGCTTCTGCTGAGAAGTCCTCCAGGATCTGAGTACCCATTCCCAGGCTCTCTTACCTTTATCTTTCTCCTGGTCACCGTAGAACTTGCCAGAATTGAGGACGAATTTGCCAAAATCTGACTTGTGTTTGGATTCAATCCAGCGGTGGGTCCACGAATCTAGGGGGTCAGAGGGTTAAGTCAGCTCTGCCGGGCCAGTACGCCCCCCCCAACCAAACATCTGCGGGGAGCCACAAGCTGCTGGGGGCAGGGAAGGAGATCCCCCGACTCTCCCCAGCCCAGTGTCTAGTTTCACAACTCCAGTGGCTTAAGAGATCATCAGGCGAACCCCAACTCCCGCCGCGGAAGGCCGCCGCGCCCTCCGCGCTCCCCCGGGACACAGAAGAGGGATCGCCCGCGGCTGGAGTCCCCAGGGGCCACCGTGTTGGCCCTCTGAGTGGTAATTACAGACGACAACGCAGATCCAGGCTGGGGGGCCAGCCGCGTCGTCTGGGCGGCTTCGGCGCGGGACCAGGCGTTACCTCCGTCCAAAAACTGCTCCTTGAAATAGACTGAGGGCTTGGCGGCGGCCAGGCCGAGGAGGCCGAGCAGCAGCGGCACGGATAGCAGCATGGCGGGCCGAGGGGGCGGCGGCACGTGGGCCCTTTAAAACGATCCTCCAGCAGCGGCTCTGCAGTACAGACCGACGCCGCCGCCCGCCTGGCGCCTTTATACACGCCCGCCTCTCAAACCAACCTGACCCGGCCCTTGAGCCCGCCCCCTACGCCTTATCATTGGTCCGAGGCTACGGCCCTTCCTTTCCATTGGACCCTCCTTGGCTCAGCAGGTTCGGCTGTGCCTCGGAACGCTGGGTTCCCAGATGGCCGATTTCTATTGGCCGCACGACCGGCCAATGAGGGTCGACCACGCGTTGTGGGGGACACCCACTGGTGGGGTGGGGGCCGTCAGCCGCTCAGTGCAGGTCATGTGACCAGACTGGAGCCCAACCCCGCCCTCGGCCGCGCGCGTCGCCCCGCTTCTGGGCGTTTAAAGAACCGCGCGAGCGCAGGTGTGTCCGCGCGGGGCCGGGACCCTTCCCCAGCTTCGCCCTCTCCCATTCCCTCTTCGTGGAAGGGGCGGGCGAGGCTTTCCTGGCCACTTCTTCCCCTGCACTTGGGGAACCCCCGCCTCAACGCTCCCGCTCTCTCCACCTAGGATGGGGCAGAGTCAGGGAGGGGCTGGGGCTGTGGGGCTTGGCTGCCCCCCACAGCTGCCACCGCCGTGCGGGCCGGGGGACGGGCGGGGGCCCTTGCCGGCCCTTGCCGGGTCTCTCTTACTTCCGCCCCCTAGCGCCCCGGCAGCCTGCTGGACTCCTGCTGTGTGACCTGGGGCAAGTCATTTAGCCTCCCTGAAGGGGCAGGCGCGTCTGAGTGGCCAGGAGGGGCTACCCTGGCCAGATGCCACCCGGCAGAAATGCTTTTAAAGTTTTTAGAGCTGTCTCAGGACAGAGGGGAAGCAGCGTAGAAGGCTCAGGGATGTGATCGTAGGCTGTGGCTCCTAGGGTGGGGGTAGGGTTATTACCCTGTCGCGGCCGCCCCTTTACTGTCCTCTCAGCGGTAAATGAAAGGGGTCGCTACCTTGTGGTCTCCCACAAACTGCCTGGCTTTTGCAATTAAACGGCTATAGGCCAGAGAGTAGGGGGTTCCGTTTAGGGAGGAAAAGAAAACACAGATGGCCCGGAAGATAACGTCGTAGGAGAGGTGGGCAGGACCCCTGGGTCTGGAGTCGTCTTCTGAATCCAGAGGCACGTGACTGACGCCAGCACCCTGCCCTCCTGCTATGAAAGGAGGAAGGAGAGCTTGGGGGTTTCCAAACTCTGAGCAAATGGGCGCTGGGCTTGGGGACCCTGGAGTGGATTGTGGAAGGGGGTAAGGGAGGAATCCCAACAAAAGAGTGGGGAGGGGGTGTGCCTCGCTAGTGGTGGCGACTCAGAAAGGGAAAGAATTAAAAAAAATTACTTGGAAAGGGCCTTTGGTTAAAAATAGAAGAAAAGGGAGAAATGTAGAGTAATGAGGAAGTTGGGTTCTGTCCCTTCTCCCAGGCAGTATCCAGTATTGCCTAGCCTGCCCCCACCCCCGCAAGAGGCTGCCAGAATCTTTGGTGACCACCCTTAGGCTTGCCACTGACCCTCCCACCTTCCCTCCAGTCCTGTGTAATAATGCACACCTGGGCTTGGTGCTTCCTGCCCAGGGCTAGACACTGCCTGTCCTGTTCCCCTCACTACCCCCCCCCCAAGTGTCTCCTGCAGCACCTGGCACAGAACAGGCTTAAAAACTAATTGCTGGGTGACTTGAAGGACACATCCTGAATATAGGACCTTACTGTACCGTCAGAAATGGGGGATATCAGTAACCTCATATTACAGGCTCAAATAACAATTGTGATCTTAAACGAATAAATGTTTTCTGCCTAACACATGGTCCATGCACAATTTAGTATTAACAAGTGCTGGGTGTATGTGTGGGCACTGTATCACTTCATTCTCACAATAACCTGGGCTCATATCTACCAGCCGGGCAAGAAGCTGAGGCACAGAAAGATTCCATGATTTGGCTGAATGACATAAATGGCAGCTCTGGGATTAGAATCTACCTGTAATGTCTAACATGGTTGCCACTGGCCACATGTGACCGCTGACTATTTGAAATGTGGCCGGTCTGAACTGAGATGTGCTGTAAGTGTAAAATACACATCACATTCTGAAGGCTTCATATGAAAAAAAAGCATAAAATATTTCACTAGTAATCTTTTTTTAAAATTTCAGCATATTATGGGGGTACAAATGTTAAGGTTACGTATATTGTATATTGCCCATTCCCCCACCCACCCCCCTTTTTTTTTGAGACAGGGGTCTCGTTGTTCTGTTAGCCTGGGCTAAAGTGCATCACAGTTCACTGCAATCTCAAACTCCTGGGCTCAAGCTATCCTCTTGCCTCAGCCTCCCGAGTAGCTAGGACCACAGGCACAAAACACCACAGCCTTCCTTTGTAAGTTACCTGCTGCTTTCGCCAAAAAAAGAGAAGAGAAAAATTTAAAATTAAGAAAAGAAAAAAAAAAAGACACCACACCTGGGTAATTTTTTAGTCTTTTTTTTTGAGACAGCGTCTCACTATGTTGCTCAGGCCGGTCTTGAACTCCTAGCCTTAAGCAATCCTCCCACTTTGGCCTCCCAAAGTGCTAGGATTATAGGTGTGAGCCACTGTGCCCGGCCAGGAAATTTAAAATTACATTTGTGTCTCAGGTTATATTTCTATAGGACAGCACTAATATAGACTATAAGTTATTGCCCTGACATACATGGGAGTGGACCTGGAGGGTTATAATTCTGACCCAATTTCTGCCAAGTCCCTGTAGAACCTTGGGCAAATCATTATTACCCTCTGAGCCTCAGTTTCTTCATCTGTGAAATGGGGGGTTATATCAGTATCGACATCATAAAGTTTTGGGGAGAAATGAAATAATATACCTGAAGTACTTAACACTGGGCTGGGCACATAGGAGTAGTCCATACAAGTTAGCTGCCACCTTACTATTAATATTACTAAGTGAGTCCTTTTCCCCCCTATAAATGGGGAATGGTCCCTACCCAGCCTCCCATTGAAAATTTCAAAGCAGTTTACATGCAAAATGACCATCTTCAGAGCCTACCAGCTACTGCCCTCTCCCAGGGCAAAGGAGAATCTCAGAAAAGCAGAGGGCTCCCAGGCTCAGAGAGGGTGAAGTACAAGGTCACACAGCCCGCTGGAGGTGAGGCTAGTTGAAATTCAAAAGAGAACTGTGCTTCTGACCTTGAGGTCACCTATTTTACCTCTTTGGTCAACCAGAAGCCAGTGGCTGAGCCAGGGTGGAGGTGGGCACCGAGTTCTTTGCACGTCTTGCAGCTCTTTAGCCACACCCAAGATGGCGACACACTAAGTCCAACAGTTGCGTTGGCCACACTCAAGATGGCGGAACCAACCCCCGGGTTCCGGTTCCGGTTGCTCAGGCTGAGGCCCGGACACGCCGCGCGCGCTGGGAGCAGCCATGGCGGATGGTCCGGTGGCGGAGCTGCTGCTGCGGCGGCTGGAGGCGGCCGATGGCGGCCTGGACAGCGCGGAGCTGGCGGCCGAACTCGGCGTGGAGCACCAAGCAGTGGTGGGGGCCGTGAAGAGCCTGCAGGCGCTGGGCGAGGTGAGCCGGGCCCCTGATGCCGGGCACCTGGCTTTTGCACCTACAGTCCTTTTGCCGCACGGGCTCTACTTCCAGGCCAGACTCGCTCAGGCTTGGTTGGGGGTGGGGGTATTGTACGTGTTTCCGCGCCGGGATACGCTGGAGGAGAGTCTGGAACGAGCGAGGGCCCGGACGTACGGGTGTTCCTAATGCAGTAAACATCCATTGAGGAATGAATGATCAGCCTGGGGGTGGCGGCGTACGATGGTGGATAAGGAAGACGCGGTTGCTGCCCCGATGTAGGTGGTGATCTGATGGGGAGGTGCTCAAGTGACCAGAGTAATGCTAGAAGCACAGGGAACCCAGCGGTGACAGCTGACCCAGCCTTGGGGGTCAGGGAGGGCGCCCTGATGGAAGTGACAGCTGAGTCAGGTCTCTGAACCGTGGAGGAAAGCCATGGCACTTGAGGAATCAAGGGCTGGAAGTTTGGGGGGGGGTGACGGATGGTGAGAGAGAACAGCACAGCCAGAATTGCAAGGCCCTGTAGGTCTTTACGTCACAGGGGTATTGGGGAAGCCATTGCAGGAATTAGAGCTGGTGGGATGTGCCATCTACACCACCTTGGAAAGAATCGGCAGGTGCAAGACTGGAATCAGATTGGATGAGAGCAAAGGCTGACACATACCCAAGCTAGAGGGCATCATGTCTGGCTGTGGGTAGGGAGCTGAAATAGGGAGTGGGCACTGCCTGAGATTCAGGACAAGGCTTGGCGGGGGAACAAGGATGAAGCCCAGCCTTCCAACTTGGGCAGATGGAGGGTGATGGAGTCACAGGAGGAGCGTGCTAAGGGGCCAATGGGCCACCCAGGAGGATATTAGATCCATGAGGCCAGGATCTGAGCTGTTGATTCATCAAACTCATGTTGTGTGCCCCACTGTGGTCTCAGCTTGTCCAATCCTTGCCATAATCCTAAGCTGATGGCACTGTTATCCCGTTTTGCAGATGAGACAACTGATGTTCAACATTGGTCAGTAACTTGATCGGTGTCACTAAAAAGGGCTGGCAAATCCAGATTTGAAATTAGGCACTCAGGCTGCAGAGCCCAAGGTCCTCAGTGCAGAGGAGAGGTTGCAGCTATGGTGCGTGGGGTGACAATACCTCCATCAATATGACATTGTCATGTGGGTAGATCACAGAAGGTTAAATAATGGCAATTTAATGTGGTTCAACCTAATGACGATAATGGCAATAACAGCAACAATAATATATTAGTTAGAATTCATGCAATACTTGACACACATTAAGAACTCTGCATTCAGCATGAGCAACAGCAAGACCCCGTCTCTACAAAAAAATAGAAAAATTACCTGGGTGTGATGGTGCGTGCCTATAATCCTAGCACCTTGGGAGGCTGAGGCAGGAGGATCGCTTGAGCCCTGCAGTGTGAGGTTGTAGTGAGCTATGATGATACCACTGCACTATAGCCTGGGCAACACAGCAAGACCCTGTCTCCAGGGCGGGGGAGAAAAACT